CGCGGCGTACAGGAGGGCGGTGGGGAACGGGGCGGTGCCGGTGAGCCCGCCGGAGGACAAGGAGTGGGGGCAGAAGGTGGGGTACGTGCGGGATATTGATGGGATTGTCGTCAGGCTTGGGAGTCATGTTAAGGAACCAAGCCCCTAGCTCTTCCAAGTGACGGATCTCTGTCTCTTTTTTTTTTCTCCCCATTTGTTTTGTTATTATTTGTAGGTGGGAATAAGAGCTGCTGTCTTCATTAATTTGTGGTTAGTGTATGGAGAACTACGTGAGTTTCATGAGAAATGGGTACATGATTAATTTTGATGTTTATTTTTTGAGTAATTTTGTGGGTGCATATTCGATATATTTTTGGACTAATTTCATGAGAAATTGGAAATATTCGTAACTTGGGAAAATTTTAATAGGAAGAATAGTAGTTAAGCGAATCAAAGGCATGATATTCAAAATGATGCTCGTTGGAAGAAACTGAAACTCGAGGCGTGCCCGTGCACGCACAACAGACTTCATGTTGATCAGTATACAAATTGGTGTTCAATAGGCGAGATATTATCGCACAGTTGTTGAGAGACGATAAAAGTTTTTTTTTTTTTTAAAGGAATAAACAAGACGTTACACATTATGACCAACACTATGAAGCAGCAGCAGCCGAACGATCCCTTCGATACATTGATTATAAAGTAGTTGCTTTAAGAGGTAGAGGCAACGCATCTGAGTTCATTCGCAGGGCGAGCTCCATCCTTGATGATATTTTTATTTCAAAACATTTCCTGAGATTTTCTAACAATGCGGCTCACTTTCTTCTTGAATTCATCCCTCTTCTCTCTCCATTCTTTCTGCAACGCAAGAACAAATCTTAGTATCAATTAAATATCAAGTTCATCGTTTTTCTCAGTGTTGCTTATGAGTGAATATGTGATAACATAGAGATTTTTTGTACTTTCACAAGAGAAGCATGCATTTTTTAGTGCGTTTTACGTATGAAGCAATTGCATTCGAAAGAAAATGAAGGTTTAAAACATCACCACTACTGAAAACTACCACATACTATTACTAGCATTTTTCTTTGTCCTACCTCAAGCCTGATAATATAAATTGGATTAATTGATCTGCTAGTACATTTACTTAATAATTACACAGGTTTGCTAAAATAAACAAAGATCAAGAGATCCATAAAAATAGAAGTCAGGTCCAAAAGAAAATGATGGGTGTTCAAATTTATATTTTATACTTACAGCAGCTTCAATATTTGCTGGAGATTCATCATTGGGGCTGGAAAGCATGGAAATAATACTCAAAACTATGCTTTCAACCTGCAGAGTAGAACCAATTTTGTTATTTAACTTGCAAAGAAATATGGCATTTGAATTAAAGATCAAGAGAAAGAACTTTCAACATCTGGGAGAAGACTATATACCCACGTAAGACCAAAAATATAGCCATTCAACTATAATTACAAGAACTTGTGTGCATTCTTCAAAGTAAAAACCAATGATACAGCATACAATATCTTCACCAACTACAGAGGATAATGTACAATAGAAAGTGCAATTTCTAATGCTAGAGTCCAACATAAAGATTTCAGTAGGCGAAATTCACTGTAATAAGTAAGTTTGCCCAGGTAATCAATCAAATAGGCTATCTCAATCCTATGTTCACATATCAACAGTTTTAGGGCATTACCTCCTTATCAGGCTTACCATCTACCAAACTTCTCACCGATAATACCACAACAATACCTTGCTTGGTTTGTTTCTTTCAACCAAGAAATGTATTATACAATCAGCTCTTTATCAAACAATTCAGAAGATAGACTAGTGATATATCTCATCGTACCATTCACCAAACTAGATCCTTTTGGCGGATATCTTTATGGCCGAGGGAGATTTACTACATTAGCTATCAACAGTATATCATAATACGTTAAGGCAGTACTAAAACATCTATCAGCTTATTCCTCAACTTTCGTTCCAATCGACAATAAAACAGACCCCTAATTCGAAGTTCCGCTTCACCCATCAAAACCTTCCACTGTCTAAAGCATCCAATTTAACTCAACACAACAGCACAGCCATATTCATCTTAATCATCAACTTTGCAAGATTGGATCCTAAACTTCATTATGAAAGTCCTAGCCAAACGACAAACCTATATAGTGAAGTGAGACTGAGAACCATTGAAACTGCCAACAGAAAGAAAGAAGATGAAGCAAATTGATGTTTAAATTGACAGTTTAAATTAGCTTTTTCTTTTTTTCTTCTTTTTTTTGGGTGCTTAAAACAGGGTTATCAACTCTGTTTCCCAAAGTATGAATGTTAGGCAATGTCCATCTGCAAATATTTTAAAAAATAAATAGCATAACATGTGTAATATTAGATATTATGGACTCTTAATTTGATTAATTAAATAATATTGAGATAGAGAATGAAAAAGAAGACTTACCAACACTCTATATGCAAACATTAAAGAGCAAAATGATAAAAGTTAGGTGGGAAAAAATTGATAAACAGTGCATAGCATCTCAAAGAAACCCATGCATAAAACTGAACTGCAACAATCATCAACTACTATCATGGCACAACTTACTTAATTCTGAGCATTATGTGGTAAAATGCTAAGGGCAGATGAGTTTCAACAGGCATATATTGTTCAGTTATTTGCTACACTAAAGAGTAGCACTGCAAATGGTTCGGATACGACTGGGATATGATACTTACTGTATCCATATCCGCTTGCCAATCACGAATATGGGTATGAATATGCCTCAATAAGGAAAATTCATATCCATATCCACTAAAATCGGATACGGATATCTTGGTCATCAGAATTAGTCTCACATTCATCAATCAAAGAATTGAAACAATTGCAGTTGTATAATCAACTTATATCCGTATATTTCGGATACGGATCCTGAAATTTCACAACGTAACAATATCAGTAACAATATCCTATTAGTTATAGAATTGAGTAACCATATATGTATTTTAACTAATACCATTATGGTAATGGATCTATTCGTGGATACGGATATGGTTTTGTGCCCCTACTAAAGAGACCTTCCCAACTCAGACAATATAGTGAAATGCTCTAAAAAATTTTTTTTTTCCTTACAATATTAATCAAGTATCAAACCATCCTGATATATAAAGAAAAGAGAAAGCGGGCTTAGGAAAGTAATTGGACTGAAGTCGTTGGTGTAAGGAAAAACTCACTGTATGCACGGGTGTCCAACGTTCACTTGCAAGCTCATAGCCGTTAGGGTCATCTCCGGGTGCATGAAGAATTGAGATGCAAACACGCCCATCAGGATAAACTGCACATCATGAAATACCAGTACATCTTCAAGCAGTGTTCATAAAATAAAGTGGTCGGAAATGTATATGTAACTAACCATTTGGATGCCACATATCCGAGGTAAATCTAACTGAAGGAGGGCTATTGGGATAGTTTGATGGAAAACTCATAATTGCATTAAAATATCCACCCTCGCTGCAACAAAAAGTATGATAAGAGAAGGTATCAGCAAAAAGACCTGATGTGCCAAACATGATGGCAGCATGATACTGAAGGAAAAAAAGGAGGATGAGAAACTAAATAAGTCTGCTTGCGTCATCGTTTGAGAAATTCATGGAATAATAAATTAAGAAAGAAAAGATATGACTGTACTGGCTACAAGAAAAGATCTCATGATAGTTAATATGGGGGACAAATTTTCAAAACCAACCCATTTAGAAACTTAATTGCAAAAATCGACCCATTTCAAATTTAATTGCCAAAATCGACCCAGTTTCAGCCAGTTGGCTGAAACTAAGTCGATTTTGGCGAAATAATTTACGAAACTTCACGGGACTTCAAGTCCCTTGAAGTTTACGTGAAGTTTCGTAAATTATTTCGCCAAAATCGACCCAGTTTCAGCCAACTGGCTGAAACTGGGTCAATTTTGGCAATTAAGTTGCAAATAGGTTGTTTTTTGTAATTAAGTTGCCAAATATGTTGGTTTTGAAAATTTGTCCTAATATGGGCCCTCACCACCCATCAATGCATGGTGTTCTTCGACCGACCTGAGTCCTAAAATCATCCTAAGGATTTACTTGCACATTATGAATATGAACTGAAACGACGCATAAGGCATAACCATTGTAATGAGAGGATGTGTTGCCTCTCTTTTAACTCATCTGTGACCATAGCAGGATCCCTTTGTAACCTCTATTTGATATAATTAAAAAGACATAACTGATGTGATAGAGACTCCCAGAAGAGTGTTTACAAATAACTAAGAAAATGCAAAACCTCGATAAAACCCTTAAAAGCAAATGCCGTCAACTATAAAATTTGACTAGGTAAAGAAAGACATGCAGAATAATCACCAGAACTCTAAGTTACTCAGAAAATCCACATTAATCACATTTAATCTCATGGAAAACCTAATAAACCAAATAAGATTTTGAGGGACAAATCAAGCCCAGGGCCTAATTAACCGTTAAATCCTAAGTGGACGCTAGGTTGACTCTTCTATGAGATCAATCAAAAATAAAAAATAATTAAAATTAAGTATAACATAACTTCGTCAACTGGTTAAAGTGGCAAGAACATTGTCATAGGGAGAGGAAAAAAAATACCATCTTTCTGCATTCTAATTAGGTTGAAATTTAATTTCAGATGAATCTCAGAGGACTGAATCAAAAATTTACGGAAAGAGCCTAATGCAATCCTTTCAAAGTAAAAGAGCGAAACTGAACAAGATATCAGGGGGAGGGCTTCATGCTTTGCAGTTTAATGGAATTATGGCTTGATCAGCCACGGATATGCAGAAGTAAATTGCCTTAAGCAAAAATAATAAATAAATAAATCTACTTCATCCTCATACTTCATCCTTTGTTATCAATAAATTAAGAGCTTAAAGCTTCTCTTGAAGGGGGCAAAAATTCAATCTTTGGCCACAAATCACTCGCTAACTAAAAACTACCATGCATCTCAATAAAGAACCAAACTTTCCAAAAAGACGACACCCTAGGATCATCAAGAAGAATCAACTAAACATCAAGTGCGACCTAATAAGGACACCCCCAATCTCCAAAACTCCAAGCCCTAATAACCCCAGATCGCATTCAACTCCAAACAAAACCCAACAAACTAGCTTCGGTCTCAAATCAACAAAGAAGATGAATAGCTCACTATAGAGTATCGGGAGGGCCGATGATGGTAACGCTCCACTCGAAGATGCTGCTGTCATCGACGAGGCCAGCAGAGAATCCATCCACAGGCGACTTCATAAGATCTGATCGGGAAAAAAAAAGTTCAGATTTTTTTTTGGGTGAAGAATTGGATTGAGAGAAATCGCAGGGATCGAATCGGATCGAATCGATCTGTACCTTTGAGTTGCTTGTGGAGGAGCAGGCTCGCTTGGCTTGGAGCGGCCATTGATGAGAAAGAGAGGAGAAGGGAGACCGCTGTTTGACCCTTATAAAAGGAGAGAAATCTATTTGGTTTTGAGGATTTTGGGTGTATATATATAGAGGCTAGGGAGAGAGAGGAGAACTAAAGAAATAGAGAGAGATTATATTTGGAATTTATTTATTTATTTAGACTAAATGGTACTTATAGATATAATCTATTGTTTCATCTACTTTTCACCTATATATATACCCTCGCTCAGGGCATCTCCGACCATGCCGTATTTCCCGCGTCATTTTGGTGCAACGGGACTATTCCTTCTCCAACCATACCATATTTCCCGCGCCATTTTGGTGGAAATGAACAGTGCGGCGCCAAATATGTCGTCGCACTGTTCATCATGCTATTACTGTTCATCACGCTATTTTTTACAGTATTTTATTTTCTGTTGTGTTCTTAAATTTAATATTTTAGCAATATCAATAATAAAAATAATAAAATATTATTATTTTACCATAATAATCTTAATTAATAAAATGATATTTTATTGTAATACTTTATTGTAATATTTTATAATATTTTACCCTAATAATATCTCCAACGCAGCAGCAAAATGCCGCAAACAACGCATTTGTCGCTGCATTGGTTCTCCAATCCAATGCCATTCTCTGCGGCATTTGTCGCACTTTTTCTCACTCCATTACTATTTTTTTTTTACTTTTTATTTTTACCTTTTAATGTATTTATAATTTGACCCCAACTGTTTTATTTAAATTTATAAAACAACCCCAATAATATTTAAATTTTATAATTTTACCCGAATTGTATAATTTGAACAAAATAAATTATTTTAACATTATTAATAATATTAAATTTTATTTGGTTTGAGGATTTTGGGTGTATATATATAGAGGCTAGAGAGAGGAGAACTAAAGAAATAGAGAGAGATGATATTTGGACTGACTTTATTTATTTATTTATTTAGACTAAATAGCACTTATATAATCTATTGTTTGATCTACTTTCAACCTATATATACTCTCACTTATACTTGGTGGCAAGAAAATATTCTAATTTTTTTTAAACTTTCACTTATATATCCTATGTTATTTTTGGTAGCACTTATATACCCTAAAGTCATTAAAACTTGCACCTAAATACCTTAAAAATTTCAAATCAGGTGTTTAACTATGCTAATATTTTTAATGTTTGTACTTAAATATCCTCAAGTTTGCATGACCAAGGGTATTTATGTGCAAGTTTTAAAAGCTTTAAGGTATTTAAGGGCTAGTTGTAAAAACTTTTAGAGTATTTAAATACCACCAAAAAAGTGAGGGTATATAAGTGCAAGTTTAAAAAGCTTTTGAATATATTTTTTTGCTACCAAATACAATTTGGGGTATATAAGTGCTATTTAAAGGGTTTTTAAGTGCTATTTAGCATATTTTTTTGATGCATGGACTAAATATCAGAAGACCCCCTTAACTTTGAACGATTATTGGATAAGCCTTCTTGACTTTCAAAATATTAAAAAAAACCTACTTAAGTTCAAAAATTCCCATTTAACTTTGAGATTTTGTGAGGAAACCTCCTACAAAGCGATTGTTTTAGGGGATTTTTTGATAAAATCTCAGAGTTGAAGTGGATTTTCTGATAAAAATCTTAAAGTTAAAGGGGAATTTTCTGATGTTTTCAAACTTATGGGGTTATCTGATAATCATCTAAAGTTAAAGGGTTTTTATTTTGTATTCTAGCCGACCTTTATATTTAGAAATGTGAGATTTGTAGATATATATAAACTTAATAAAAAGGAAATAAAGGTTTAGTTAAGACAGGGAAGAGGCTTTCATAATGGAAGGAACATATATTAGATTAAAATTTTTGTATATAAAGATGTAGAGATAGAAAAGCTAGTGATTTGAATTTTTAAAATGAAAATTTTGTACCATTTGGGTATGATTTACGACAAATCAGTTATTTTAAAAAGGAAAATTTAGATGTCCGGTTTCAACATGTTTAAACCCTGCATCTCAGGTCATCAAAATGGACGTTCGAGATTTTTTAGCGACGCGTGATTAAAAACACGTTAAAAATATGAGAAAATTGCTCCTAGGCCCCAAATTTGAACTTTCAATGTGTCCCAACCCCTCCTGATTTTTTTAATGTGCTTTAGCCCATTTTTTTTGAAAAAAATGCGCCCAAGGCCCCTTTATCATGATTCCAACTCTTGCCAGCAGTTGATTAGACATGTCAGCTCATGATTAGACATGTCAGCTGGCTTAAATCCCAAATTTATCCTCCTCTTTCTCATGCCAGCGGATGTTAACTCTTACAGCTAACATGTTAACTCTTACAAATAACATGTTAACTCTTACAGCTAACATGTTAACTCTTATAGCTAACATGTTAACTCTTACAGCTAACATGTTAACTCTTACAACTAACATGTTAACTCTAACAGTTAACATGTTAACTCTAACTAATGTGCTCACGCGAAGTTTCTCGGGATGGCGCAGGTGGCGGAACAGGGGAGAGGGCAGAGCGGGGGGACGGGAGGAGGAGGAGGCGAGGTGTTTAGGGCGGCAGGCTGCAGCAGGCTGGTGGCGGAGCTGGGGCAGGGAGGGAGGCCGTCGGGTGGAGAGGCGCCGCAGGGGAGGTGCAGCGGGGGAGTGAGGTGGGTGGGGAGGGAGCGGGGTCGCAGGGGAGGGAGGGAGTAGCGCGGGCTAGCGGAAGGGCGGGTAGGAGTGGGGGGGAGGGAAGGGAGGTAGGGGGCTGGGGGAAGGGGGGAGGGTGAGGAGGCGACATGGGGTAGGAAGGGGTGGTTGGGGCGGCTGGAAGGGGGGTAGGGTTAGGGGAGGACAAGGCGCGTGGGGGAGGGAGGGACGGCAGCCGTGGGAGGAGGTGGGCGGGCTGGGGAAGCCGGCGAGACAGCGGTGAGGGGAGGGAGGAGGCGTGTGCGGCAAGGGGGGACGGCGGCGTGGGGAGGGGAGCCGTGGCGGGAGGGGAGGGAGGCGGAGCGGGGGAGGGAGGCGGCGCGGGGGAAGGGGCAAAGGGGGACCGGCAAAGGAGGAGGAGGAGGGAGGTGAAGGGAGGGCAAAATCAGGATTTTGGACTGGAGGGGCCTGAACGTAATTTTTTAAAAAAGGAGGGGCTGTTGTAGGCTGTCTAAAAATCACAATAGATAGTTGATCCCTCATCAAACACCGATGATGGAAGTTACAATCTGACGACTTCCAGAAGGCTACAATTTGAGGACTTTCACGTAGAAGGTTACAATCTGACGACCTTCACAACAACTAATGAAAGCCCCAATTCAACAGCCTTCACAATCAACATCGGGAGTTACAATCTGACGACTCTCGTATTTTCAAGGAGCCAAGACGAAGATTACAAGAGGATGATCTGTGCAAAGCTCTAGCAAAAGAGACTACAAATTGACGGTCTTTTCATATTAGAAACGCAGAGTTCACCTCTAAAAACGGCCCAACGGTGCGTTTTCAGCCTTAAAATAGGCTCAACTCTGTGTTTTCAGCCTAAAATGCAGAGTTCATCTCTAAAACAGCACGATCTGTGCGTTTTCAGCCTTTAAATAGGCTCAACTCTGCGTTTTCAGCCTAAAACGCAGAGTTCATCTCTAAAACAGCACGATCTGTGCGTTTTCAGTCTTTAAACAGGCCCAACTCTGCGTTTTCAGCCTAAAACGCAAAGTTCATCTCTAAAACAGCACGATCTGTGCGTTTTCAGCCTTTAAACAGGCCCAACTCTGCGTTTTCAGCCTAAAACGCAGAGTTCATCTCTAAAACAGCACGATCTGTGCGTTTTCAGCCTTTAAACAGGCCCAACTATACGTTTTCAGGCCTAACTCTGCGTTTCAGGTCCAGAAACGTACAGTTCGGGCCCAGAACGCTGTTTTCAGCGTTTTGACTCGTTCAAAGTACTAACAGAACGGTTTCAAAACTGTTTTCCCCACGATTTAGGGAACTGTTTAAGAGGGGGAGGTTACACCCCCACTCAGCCCATTGAGGAGCAGATTAAGGGGATAGTTACCACCCTTAATCCCCTATAAATAGTGGGAAACTCAACTGAGTTCGGGTCTCTTGGATCCTTCTTTTTTGGGGCAACAAAGAAGAGATCTTCGGCTCTTTTATTGACAAAATCCTTGGAGCATTCCCTTGGCTTATAACCGACTTTCGGTTCAAATCAACTCTTTTTCAAGAGGTCAAACTCGTTCAGAGTTATCAACTCGATCAGAGTTCAAAACTTGCTCTGCAAGTTCTTCTAAAACTCATTCAGAGTTATCAACTCGTTAAGAGTTATATTCAAACTTATCACGCAAGTTCTCCACAGCGTCAAATCGTGAGGAGAAAATTATGTTCCAGTGAATCAAGATGTTCGGATCGTCAACGAGAAGAAAACTCAACGCGAGCATTCGAGGGAGGCATCTCATCGCCACCGTGAAGAACCCAGAATTAAACAAATGGGAGAATCAAATTCATTCTCCTCTCTTTTGTAATCGGAATCCAAATTGTAATTGATTTTGAGAGGAATACAAGTCAAAATTTTCTTTCATTGTTTTTTTACTGCAAAATTTCCAACAAACAAAAGATGGCGACTCTGCTGGGGACTAGCTTCTCTGACGAAGAAGTGGTGGTGCAATCCGACGTTCATCTCACTGGAACGACCGTTGAAACTCTGATTATCGAGTTTGATCAAGCCAAGTACGAGGAGACCCTCTCCTCCGGATCCCTTAGCCCCAAGGCTATGCGCAAGATCCACAAAGTTTCCGAGGAGGCTAAAGCTCCAGTTGTAGCCAACTCATCTAAAGACTATCTCCCATGGGGGTTGCACTGTTCATACAGTCCCCTCTCTAAAGGAGAAGACTCGATTTCGGCACAACGCCAAAAAAGCCGATCCTCCAATCAACGCGAACTCCGCGTTTATGAGCCTCAACATGAGCTCTGCAGAAGCCAAGCTAAACGCAACCCTCAGGTGTGCGTTTCCCAGATAGAACGCAGCTTTCAGAAGCGCGTTCTAACATCAAAACGCAGACCTCAAAACTGCGTTGATCTGGCTGAACGCAACTCTCAAGAGTGCGTCCCAGAACCAAAACGCAA